TAGTGTTCAGGAGTGACGCCCAGACGAACACCTTGCTTGGTTACGAAATAGGATGAAATATAAATGCTCGCCAGTTAGTCTATTTGTCCCCGCTCAACGATGTAGTTAGATAGCTAACTGGGGTAGGCGACGAGAGGCGTATAACCCGGATCATATCATCAACCCTATAAACCAATAACTTGACAACTAAAATTAGTTCTAAGCCAAAAATATGATACATGAAATCCAATTCATGCTGCAGCCCTGAGATTTTCCAACTATTGTAAGTAATTTTATTATTTTGTTCTTGCATTCTTCTCTTTTGGCTCTCTTAAATAAATAATTAGATCAGTATAATTTAGTAAAAAATAGTTAATTGACAAGTCCTTTGGGTTCGATAATCTGGTTCTTTTAAGAGCCACTATATTACTTGCATGACCGCGTACACTTGCGTGTGCAATTGGGAGCAACAACCATATTCTCCCTTCCTTTCCCATACACATAATATGACAACACTCGTAAATTATTAGTATTACTAGACACAAGTGCCCGTGATATATGTTATTTTTTTGTCTCACTTTATGTGACATTGATAGAATTTAGATAGCCCATTAAATTTTAATATGATTTTTAAATATTTTAAGTTGTTAATTATTGTAAGTTATAGTATTTTTACGTAATTTTTAAATAATATATATTACTTATCTTGTCCCAATGTATGTAGCACATATAGAATTTCAAGAGTTCAATCGAATGTTGTTAATTATTGAGATTTACAATACTTTGTACGTAGTTTCCAAATTAAATATTACATGTTACATCTTTTGATTATTGTAATTTATAGTACTTTTTACGTAAATTTTTAATAATATATGTTACTTCTCTTATCCCAATGAAGGTAGCACAAATAAAATTTCAAGAGTCAATCAAATGTTGTTAATTATTGAGATTTACAATATTTCTTCGTAGTTTTCAAAATTAAATAATACATGTTACCTTTTTTTTTATCCCATTTTATGTGACACAGAAATATTGATTTTATGAATCAATCAAATTTTTTATATGTTTTTTTACATATATTTTAAGTTGGCAATTATCATGATTTATGGTATTTTTTATACAATTTTTAAATATTTAAAAAATTAAAAAACAAGATAAACAAATTAAAACGGAAGAACCACCGGAAAAAGGAAACAATGCAACTGTCAGGCAGGCATGTCGACCATGACCTTCCTGGTTATTGTTACTTATATATAGGGATAAGGTTCTGAAAAATACCTCAACTTTGGTCGGATTTGCTATTGCGATACTAAACTTTCATGAGGACCTATTACCTCCCTAGACTATTTAATACCGTATTTTAAACATATATATTTGCCCACGTGGACATAAAAAATAATGCAAAATTATAAATAGTAATGTGTCCACGTGGGCACATAAATACCTTTAAAATACACTATTAAATAGTTCAGGGGGTAAAAAATATGGTATTAAATAGTCTAGGGAGGTAATAGGTCCTTATGAAAGTTTAGTATCGCAACAGCAAATCCGACCAAAGTTGGGGTATTTTAGACCCTTATCCCTTATATATATGTAGTAGATTTTCTTTTAAAGTAAGGGTGTATTTGGTATGAAGGAAAATATTTTCCTAGAAAAATATTTCAAGTGGATTTCTAACTTATTTTCTCATTATTGTTGGTGAGTAGAAAATACTTCTTAATGTTTGGTTGGTGAATGAAAAGTATTTTTCACAACATATCATTTATTTTTTACTTGAGACTAGAAAATACACTTTAGGAGGGGAAGGGGGGTTGGGGGATGGCTAGGGTAGGGATGGCGTAAAAATTGAAATTTTTAAAATTTGAAATATTTTTCAAAAACAATTTTTTAAAATTTTTTTGATAGGGTTAGGATGGGGAATGGCATAAAATGATTTTTTTTAAAATTTGAAATATATTTTAGAAACAGTTATTTTTAAAAAATTGACGTGGGGAGGGGAGAGGGGTAAAATAAATGAAATTTTATAAATTTGAATATATTTTCAAAACAATTTTATTTTGTGGGGGGAGGGGGTAGGGGTTAGGTGAGGTAAAAAAATCTTAAAACTTGAAATATTTTTCAAAAATAATTTTTAATTTTTTTTTGTTTGGGGAAGGGGGGCTGGGGGCTAGGCTGGTATGAGGGTAGGGGTAAAAAAACTGAAATTTAAAAAATAAGAAAATTTCAAGCCTTAAAGGTAAGTCATTTTCCTTAAATTTGAGGAAAATGAATTGATTTGGAAAATATTTTTCAAAACATTTAAACCAACCAAACATGAAAAAGTTGAAATATATTTTCCTTCGTACCAAACACACCCTAAGTCTCATCAATAAAACAAAATTGAGTGTTGCACTATAAAAACATCAACAATTTAATTCACCTTTTTCCTCTCAGCCATTGACTTGAATCGCCAAAAGAGGTCCCCCAAGTTGTTTTTCCTCAAAATTATATCCAGCTATGACAAAATAAAATGAGTGTTGTTGATGCACATTCATATATAATAATATCATAATTTAATTTATTGAAATCTTAATACATGTATTGTACCTCAAGCATTTTGATTTTCAATGCATGACGTCCACTGCACAAAATATAAGAATGCATGATATTTATTTTAGAAAAAAAAGCAAATATCTATTGAACCGTATCAATAACAACAATAAATTCAGTGTAATTCCTCAAGTGGAGTTCGTAGAAGATAGAGTGTACACATACTTTACCTCTACCTCGTAGAGATAGAGAGGTTGATTTCGATAGACTATCGATTTAAGTAAAAGCATTTCAACGCAATTTGAAAAAGAGACTACAAAAATGAAAGCAATAACAACAATGAAATAAAGCGAAAAGAATAGTAATGACAATAATGCAATAATCGAGTCACACCAATATCAATAAAAAATCAAAACTATTGAGACGGTTTCAGAAAATGTAATTTTGATTTAACTAAAAAATAATATAATATAAATTTTATAAAATAATCGATCGAACTGAATTTTGAACCATCGTTATCACAACATCATCACAATAAAACAGTGTGTACCTGAGTTTTCCCAATTTAATACCATGTTCACTAGCACGAATAAATCCAACATCTTCAGCAGATATAAATTCATATGTGCCTCTGTTCTTTAATATTCCATCCTAAATTAAGTACATAGAATAACACACACAAAAAAAGAGAATAAATTCAAATACCTTTTTAATTAGTTAAATAGGTTTTACATAGTTTTCTTTGCTTTTTATTTTTACAATTAAATTCTTAATATTTAAATTGGGTGGAAATACCACGTGTTCTTATTTAATTCGTCATTTTTGTAGTGTCATCCATAATTTTATTACATATATACATAAGTACATTTTAAATTTTTGGCTGATTGGTAAAACAGATCTAAAATAAGTAAATTTCTTGAATAGGAACAAGTCTAAAATAAAATTGTCAAAATATGAATTATGAAATTTTATTTAGTATTTTAACTAAATGAAATTGACCTGATGAATTCCACTTTCATGAGTAAAAGCATTAGCGCCAACAATGGCCTTATGTGGTTGTAGCTTAAGCCCACTATACTCCTCTACCTGCATATATATAACAATATTATTATATGCATAATTAATTTTAACAACTAAAAAATATATACATACCATGTTGCTTGTGGTGAATATATGTTTTGTATTAATCCCAGTATAGACACCACCTAGTACTTCCTCTCCACGACATTTTATGGCCATTACTATCTATATAAAATAGAAATAATAATATTAATTAGCTAGAGATAGATTAACATTTTATATATATAAAAATATTAAAGGTTATTCTCCCTCACCTCTTCTAGAGAAGCATTTCCAGCTCTTTCACCAATACCATTGATGGTTACATCAATTTGTCTTACTCCTGCACAAATTCCCTGAATTTCATCAAGGTATGAGAGTCAAACTAACGATATGTAGTTTTAGAAATAAAGTACTTCCTCCGTTCATTTTTAATTGTCATGTTGCATTTTTCGAAAGTCAATTTGACTAATTTTCAAAATACATCATAGAATTTAATTGTAAAAAAGAAAACCATGACAATTAAAATTGGACAGAGGGAGTGGTTGGAAGCTAACAAATACATACAGCTAATGTGTTGGCAGTAGCAAGTCCAAGATCATTGTGACAATGTACTGCAAGGATCACATTTTGGATACCTAATGTATTGGCTTTTATGTCAACAATTAGTTGTGCAAATTCATTTGGCAAATTGCATCCAACAGTATCAGCAACACAAATGCATGTTGCACCAGCTTTAATAACTTCTCCAATAATATGATAAACAAACTCCTTATCAGATCTGACAAAAATAATAATAATTATATATACACCATATGGTAAAAATATAAATATGACAAATATTACAGACCTTGTAGCATCTTCCAAGCCAAACCTAACATGCTTGAACCCAAGACTTCTTGCATAAGTCACCATGCTCCTTGCTCTCTCCACAACTTGTTCTCTACTCATATTTAATTTATACTTCATATGTATATCGCTTGTCGAGATAAACATATGAATCATCGGTGTCTTTGCATACTTTAAGCTCTCCCAAGCTCTATCGATATCTTCCTTAGTAGATCTCGCCAAACCACAAATCATTGGTACATAGCCCTCTTCATCTACGCTATTGCCTGTTGAGACATAATATAAATACGCATGGTAATATATATATATATAACATTTTGTTAAATAAGATGAGCATTTAATTTAACATTACCAATTTCATGTGCTATACACTTTACAAGCTCAAACTCAACCTCAGAGGAAGCTGGAAAACCAGCCTCAATTACATCAACACCAAGCTTGACTAGCTGACGTGCAATGTCCATCTTTTGTGTAGCCGTCATGGAGGCACCAGGAGCTTGCTCTCCATCACGAAGCGTCGTGTCGAAAATTGAAACATAGTTAGGATCAGAGAATTTGTCCAAACCATTAACAAGAGTGTTCTTAGAATTTGCGTAGAGAGAAGCCATTTTTTTTCCCTTAACTGTGTGCTTTGGTGTGGGATTTTTTTATAGGCAAGAAAATAGCAAAACATTGATATCATGTTTTAAATAATTTAAGATTATAAACTTTGAAAAAGGTTTGATAGGGTATAAGGGGGTAAAGTAAGCGGGTTGAGTTAAAACTTGAGATATTAAAATGAGTTGAAAGAGGATCAGGTTGTGTCATGCCCCGTTCAATTTTAATAATTTTATAACCACAATTTAAATTTCAACTCAAGAAATAGAAAAAACAAGTTATAAATAGATAGATAAATCTTAGAAGATATAATATAGACAGTAACTCATACCTTCAACATGAGAACACACACTACATGAATACAAATAAAGAGTCTTAAAATGAATTGAAATAGGAGACTAAATTGAGCTCAATTGAATATTCTATAAAAATGAATTACGGCTTGAATGAGTTGATATTAGGGATGGCAATGGATCAGATGGGGTGGAGGTTTGAGCTTAACCGAGAATAGAAATGAGAAATTACAATGATAAATGGTTTGTAATGATTCGGTTGGTCATTTTTGAATTTTTTTGTAAAATAACCATTTTATTCCCGATATCGACCCTGAGTATTTTCTGATTGAGTTTTGAAAGTTAGTTTCTAACTTTGAGTGAAAGTTGTGAAATTTGTAAGTTTTTTTTGAGTCAAAAGGCTAAAATTGTTAAGAAGTGGGTTTCAGTGTCTTTTGGAGTTTCGAGTATCGAAATAGAATTCTATCGATTCCGTCGGTCCTGAAATATGGAAATTGGTCTAAGGGAGTTGTCGGTTTTAAATTTAGAGTCTTTTTAAGGATTTGAGGTCCTAAGTTGGAAATTATTGAAATTTTAGCTCTTGGGTTGACTTTGGTCAACATTCGGGGTTCAAATCCTTGGATCAGAATTTTGAGAGTTTCGCTATATTCAGGGGATAATTTTAGGCCTAAGTGAGGTCTTGCTTGAATTTTCAGAGGCTTCAATCTTGATTTAGCCATTTTAGGCGTTATGTTCGCTTTTTGTGACTAGCACAAGTTTCGGGTCAAGGAAATCTTAGATTCATATTTTGATGGTTCCATTAAGTCTGATACGTCAAGTTTAGTCAATTTGCATATTTTGTTTGTGTGTACGAGGTTCCAAACAAATCCGGAAGGTCCATTCGATGTTTTGAGAGTTGACTAGTTTTTCTAGTGCCCGAGTTCTGTATCCTTCACGTTTGCGATAAGCCTTCCGCTTTAGCAACCTTCGCTTCAACGAAGGCGTGGTCAGTAAACGAAAGGCTAGATTTTCTCGGGGTTCGCTTAAGCAGAGCCTGGTTCCCAAAAGCGAGACACCCATTTTATGCGGGGCTCGCATAAGCGACATCTAAGAGGGTTTTAGACCTGTAATTTTGGGGTTTTATCCTATTTTCCCCATTTTTAGTTTTAGAAAATCCTTGGAGGTGATTTTGAAGAGATTTCTTGTGCTAAATCATTTGGGTAAGCCTTTGTGACCCTAAAACTTCATTTCATTTTATCATGTATATATTTTATTATTTATCAAAACTTGATATTTTGATTGACAAAGGGCAAGGTTTTCAAAAAATTAAGTTCTAAAATAAAATGGTGGTTGTGAATTGATTTTAATTCCTTTTTTCGAAATGGCTTTCACCAATGAGATTCAAATGCCTTGGATAATATTTTCAAGTAAAGCTTTTCGAATTTGAACCTCATTTTCAGAATTGAGTTTTTGAGTTGATTTGCCCATTTTTCAAAATATATGATTTCGGTGTTGTTATTTCTAGAATCTTATTGTGATTACTTGATTGAACTAGATTGTGTAGCTTTGGGGATTTTTCAGAAAGGGAAGACTCAAGTCTTGGATTGAATTGAGGCAAGTGATCTTCTAAACCTTGTAAAACTTATAGAATCTTGTATTTCCGCTCATTGTGTGTGTTGGAGAGTAATGGAAAGGAGGTGATGGATTCATTTATTTCACATGATTGATCTTAATGAATAAAATGGAATTACGAAAAAGACAGTGTGTTGATCATAATGCTTTGTGAATTTTTGTGGACTTAAATTTGTTGATTGATGAAAAACCTTGATGACATTATTGTTGACTTAAATTGCTTGAGTTGTTGTCTCTTCCATATGGTGTGAAATTGCTTATTTGCATTGATTGTTGAGCACCGTGATGATTATACCAAAGGGAAATGATTCTGAAAAGTGATATTATATAAAGCCAAGGGAAATGATTCCGTCAAGAGACATTGTATAAAGCTGAAGGGAAATGATCCCGGCAAGTGATATTGTGCCGAAGGAAAATGGTTCCAACAAGTGACATTGTATAAAGTCGAAGGGAAATGATTTCGATTAGTGACATTGTATGCCTGTTGAGTACCGTGTTGTTTGGTACTTGCTCCTTGCTTCTACACTTGTGTAGATTTTGAGTCTAGACCCGTGTGATTTTTTTCTTCTTCCAAGGCTTTCAAAGGACTTTGAGAGGCAGCTTCTTGTCATTCCGGCGGGTCCTCTTGTTCCTTATTTTATGTTTTATTCTATTTTAGAGACGAAGACATTCGGAATTGTACTTATCTTTCAATTCTATAATTATATTAGTGACTTGTACTCGTGACAACCAGGTTTTGAGGTTATATTAGAATGACTAAGTTTTCCGTTCTTATGTTATTCCTGACTACTTTTCGCATTTATTTCGTATTGTTTTGGTGAAAATTGTAACACCCCGAAAATTCTAAAGTTTTGATTGGAACCATTCTTCATTTACTTGTAGGGTCATATCAGGTGATTCTTAAATTGCCCATATGTGTAAAAGTAAATGCTTTAGTGTGGGAATAATTTTGGATATCAATTAAGGTCACTAGAAACTCCTAGCACAAAGTTGAGTTGAAAGCTTCCTTACCGATTAAGTTTTGATATAAGATTCAACTTAGGTCAACTTCAAACGACCATATCTCTTAGAATATAAAGAGTTACGTGGCCCATAACCTATCAAATTAAAGGTATTTGAATCTTCTTTCCAACGCCACCAATTTCACGTCAATCCAAATTTTGAGTAAAAAGTTATGACCATTTTTGTAACCGGATACAGTGTTGTGGTGAATTAGCCGATGGGAAAACATTAAAAATGGTCAGTTTTGTCTTTTTACCTCTAAGAAAATCCTAAACGAACTTCTTGACTAATTAAAGACCCAAAACAATCTGATTTTAGTCTCTTAATTCATCATTCTCTTCTCTCTCAAACCCTAAGGCAAAACCCTAAGAAAGAATCAAAGTAGAAGACTCTTTTCTAAATTGTTTCAATCTTTTTCAAGATTCTTCTTCAAGGTAAGTCTTTCTCCAAGAATTCCATTATTCTCGACTCAAATTCCTCCATACAATTATGAATCACTAATGAAAATCATAATTCTTGGCCATAGAGTTTCAAGAAACTAATTCAAGAATCTCAAGAAAGGTTTTCTTGATTGTTTAACTTCAAGCTAGGGTTCAAGGCTTCTAATCAAGTTTTTCTTCAAGATTCTTGAAGAACCTTGTTCTTTTCTTTCATGTATGTAAGGATATCATAGTGTTGGACTTGTTCGTCCTCACACCCCACATCTACATTCCAATCAGTAAATGAGTAATCTAGAATTCTATCCCTAGATTTGAGTATTCTTGAGATAAGTTGATTTTGAGTTATTGTGTTCTTGATTCTTTTTTGAAATTCTATTCCTAATTATTGAAATGCTATATGTTATTCATTAAGATTCTTGAGTTGATTTGTTCATGTCTACATTTGAACATGAACCCTATGAATTGAGTATTCATGAGATGAGTAGTGTTGTTGAGTTTCGAGTTCTTGAGTCCTTGAGTTCTTGAGTTCTGAGTATTGAGTTTCCATATTGCTATTAAGATCCCTGATTTGAGTCTTTCATGTCCATAACTCCGCATTAACCCTATGAATTAAGTTATAGATTTTGAGAAGTTTTTTAAACTGAGTTTTGAGGAAGTAAAGATGAGTTTTGAGAAAGAGTTTCCGAAACATGATTAGTATGACAATCGAGTATGCCATCAATGTTTAAGCAGTATGGTATCTAGATATACCATCAATGTTTACGCAGTATGACTTCCCGAGTCATCAATGATCATATTACAATATGATTTTGAAATATTTTTGAGAAAGAGTTTTCAAGTATGAGTAGAAGGGGACTATGTATTCTACAGACATCAATTTTTACATTGATAAAAGAGAAATTGAGATTTCTAAATGAGTTATGAGTTCAAAAGTTATTTCAAGAGCAGTTACCTCTTTTAAGAAGGTAGTTTGAGCAATTATCTCAAACTAGAGGAAGAGTTATGTTTTTTTTAAACATATGGGCATGAGTATATATTATTGGGAGTAGTATTGAGCATCGATATGAGAGAGAGTTCAGACAACTCACAGCCCCCATAAACCGTGTATGCCAACATGGGTAAATGGTCATACTTTTTAGATGATTTCTTATTGCTTTTAAGCATAACTTAGTGGATCCACTTAGTTGAGGTGTTCTATACCCCGACAAGGTATAAAACAGTTTTGGCAGCGTGGGCTAGACGTTGTATCATCACGCAGCTCATATTGATGGTTGTTGGTTAGAAAATCTCCCAAATAGAGTTAAAGTGTATTTTTATATATCATTTATTATGTTGAGTTTAGAGATGAGAAAGTATTTTGTAAAGCTATAAATGATTTAACTCCTTTATTTCTTTACATTCAACTTGAGTACATTGTTATCTAGTCCAGCCCTTTCTTTCAGTTATTTGTTATTCAACTATATTACACACTCGTATATTCAATGTACTGATGTCATTCGACCTGCATCTTTTAATGATGCATATACAAGTTATTAGGATCCTTAACAATAGTCTGTTGAGATCATTTCATTCGCTCGTCTGCTTATGAGTGAGACCTCCTTGCTTTCGGAGTACTCCAGTTTTATGAGTTGTTAGTAGTAGTTCTCTTGAGGAGTCATGGGTCTTGTTCGACACTCATCTTTTTATAGTAGAGGCTTCATAGATAGACAATTTTGGAGAGTCTTTCAGTTTCAGATATTTTATTTAAAACTTATGTTTCATACTCAGTATATTCAAC